TCTCCCTCTCTTCTCTTCTCCTCTCCTCTGCTCTTCCCCTCCTTTTCTTTTTCCTCATCCTCTCTTCTTCTCCCCTCTCCCTCTTCCTCCCTCTTCCTCCCTCATCCTCTTCCTCTCCCTCGCCATCTCTTTCTCCTCCTTCTTCTCTCTCTCCCTTTCTTTCTGCCCTACAGAGAAGGATTGTATCTTACTCAAGTTTGTATCCCCAGTGCCATGTATTGGATTGTGTCATACATGGTATTTACTCAATGCTCATTAAATACATTTTACATGTTTTATATCTATTACAGAACAACCTTAAATAAAATTAACAGCAATAATTTTATCATATGCTGCCTGCTTCCCGTTCAGATGTAATACAGTAGAAAGAGATTAAGTCAGGAAATCTACTATGGTGTTAAAGAATTGGCTTTCTAATCAGATAACTCTGGGTTTTTGTCTTGAAAATTCCATTCCTCTTACTTGCTACCTCTGTTCCCATGGACATAGCACTAAATCTCTCTGTACTTTAGTTTTATCTCTTCTGTAAAATAGTAACATTTTACATACAGTTGTAATAATTACTTGGTATAATATAGGTAGAGCAGCTAGTTCTCTGACTGGCATGTAGTGAACTTCAAAACCTTATATCTATTTATATATATGTATACATATATGTAAATGCATATATAGAATATATGCATATATGTATGCAAATATATATACCCACATTATAGGACATGCATCACTTTAAGCATAGTGGTGAACAAGAAATGTTCTTTCTCTTTGTAGGTTAAAATTTAATGACGAAGGGCAGAAATGAACATATAAACAATTAATTAAAATATTTTCATATGTTCTTAGAAGCTATGTGGAAAATAAAGCAAATTAATGGACTGAAAAATGGCTGGTGTTTGGGGGAGTTGTTAGAGTAGCCAGGAAAGTCTCCTGAGGTGTGATGTTTTCCATTAAAATAGGAAAAAATTACCATTGCATTTTCATGGACATTATTGTTTTATAACTTAGTATATATTTTTCTCTTTCCCATACAGAACTAAACTCAAATATGTATTTTAGTATCTACCTTCTTTCATCCGTGATTTTCAAGGGAAGATGAAGTGTTCATGTGTGTTGGTCCCATGAGAAGCTATACTATGGATTGTCTCTAGAATCTTCAATGCTTGCCTGCACTCTCTTTCCCTCACTGCATCTCACCCTTTGCCTTTAGATAAAAGCCTTACCTGAGAATGTCTGTGGATTCTGGTGTGTGCTTTCAAACTGGGGAAGGCAATAGACTCTAATTGGGAATAAAGAAGCAATAATATTTACAAAGACTCTGAAGTGATTTTCATCTTGGACAATGTATCTTCCAGATAGAAAAATCAAATATGTTTGAAATGTGAAATTTCCATTTATGTTTTGTAGTTGTTGTTAGGTGCCATCAAGCCCATTCCAACTCATAGTGACCCTACGTACAATAGTACGAAACACTCCCTGGTCCTGCACCACCATCACAATCATTGCTATGCTTGAACTCATTGTTGCAGCCACTGGGTTAATCCAACTCATTGAAGGGTCTTCCTCTCTTTTGCTGACCTTCTTCTTTACCAAGTATGATGTCCTTCTCCAGGGACTGGTCCCTCCCAATAACTTGTCGAAAGTATGTAAGATGAAGTCTCACCATCCCTGCTTTTAAGGAGCATTGTGGCTGTAATCTTTCCAAGACATATTTGGCCATTTACTAGGCCAGCTAAATTATATTTCTTATAAATCTCTGTTAGTATCCAATTAAAACATGCATATTTGGATCCTATGCATATGAGAAATGCATAAGCAAAACGTTGTATCATTTGCAGGCTCATCTCTATTTCCAAATCAAAATAAATTAAAATAATATTGAGAAAATGTAACTACATGCTGTATAACTAAGTTTCTAATTCATATATATATATGTAGTTTGTATATATATATCTATATATGTGTGTGTGATATACAGATACAAATGTGTGCATGTATATGTGCGTGTGTACCTACACAGATGTTGTTTTGTAGAATGTGCCACACCCTGAACTTTTCTAATTGTTTTCTCATGATTAGTTCAAGCTCACTGTTTCAGCAAGAACACAACATAAGAGATGCTGTGTACTTACCATTGCATCACATCAGGAGGCATAGAATGCCAGTTTATTCCTTATCAGGGATGCATAATTTGATCACTTGTTTAAGGTAATATCTACCAGATCTCTTCATTATAAAGAATTCTTTTCAGCTTTGTAATTAGGGTGATACTTTAAGGCCATGTGAATATTATGTTCTCAAAAAGCTTTCACTGACTGGTTTTAGCTGCATTCGATTTGCCATTTTATTCTCTATTTATTAGTCTCTTTTACCACTGAATGATAGAAACTCTGAGCTCAAGCTATAGACATTGTCAGTTTCCTGGGAAGACAGAGTTGGAGCACACTTTAGATAAATCGATCCTAATTATGTGTTTATTATTAGTGAGTGAATTAGCCTAGCTCCTGTGTCAGTTCCATATGACACAATTTAAACCATCTTTATATTCCAGGTAATGTGATATTGACACATAAGGAGCCTTGGTGGCACAATTGTTAAGTGCTAGGCTGCTAACTGAAAGGTCTACAGTTCGAACCCACCAGTCTCTTTGCAGAGAAAGATGTGGCAGTCTGCTTCTGTAAAGATTTACAGCCTTGGAAACCCTATGAGACAGTTCTACTCTTTCCTATAGACTTGCTATGAGTCGGAATTTTTTGGAAGGTGATGTTTACATTTGGGACTTAGCAAAGGCAGTACTCAGAGGTCAATTTATAGCAACAGACGTACACAACTAAAAAGAAGAAAGGGACAAAATCAAAACATTAGCTACACAACTCAAACAAATAGAAAGAGAACAGCAAAAGAAGCCCACAGCCACGAGAAGAAAGGAACTAATAAAGATAAGAGCAGAAATAAAATGAAATAGAGAATAGAAAAACAATAGAAAGAATTAACAAAACCAAAAGTTGATTCTTTGAAAGGATCAACAAAATTGACAAACCACTGGCCAAATTGACAAAAGAAAAACAGAACAGAACTCAAATAACCCAAATAAGAAATGAAATGGGGGACATTACAACAGACTGAACTGAAATAAAAAGGATCGTAACAGAGTATTATGGAAAACTATACTCTAACAAATTGGAAAACCTAGAGGAAATGGACAAATTTCTAGAAACACACTACCTACCCCAACTACAATAAAATGATGTTGAAAATCTGAACAAACCCATAACAAGAGAAGAGATTGAAAAAGTAATTTAAAAACTCCCAACCAAAAAAAGCACCATCCCAGATGAATTCACTGGAGAATTCTACCAAACATTCAGAGAAGAGCTTGTACCAGTACTACTCAAACTATTTCGGAACTTAGAAAAGGAAGAGATACTTCCAAGTTCATTCTATGAAGCCAGCATAACCCTGACACCAAAACCAGGCAAAGACACCACAAAGAAAGAAAATTACAGACTAATATTTCTCATGAATAGAAACACAGAAATTCTGAATAAAATTCTAGCCAATAGAATTCAGCATCTTATCAAAAAAATAATACACCATGACCAAGTAGGATTCATACCAGGTATGCAAGGATGATTCAAAATTAAAAAAATCAATCAATGTAATCCACCACATAAATAAAAGGATAGAATCACTTGATCATCTCAATCGATGCAGAAAAGGCATTTGACAAAGTCCAACACCCATTCCTGGTAAAAACTCTCAATAAAATAGGTATGAAAGGGAAATTCCTCAACATAATAAAGGCATCTATACAAAACCAAAGGCCAACATCATTCTTAATAGAGAGAGGCTGAAAACATTCCCCTTGAGAACAGGAACAAGATAAGGATGCCCTTTATTGCCACTCCTATTTAACAGTGTGCTGGAAGTCCTGGCTAGAGCAATAAGGCAAGAAAAAGAAAAAAAGGGCATCCAAGTTGGTAATGAAGAAGTAAAACTGTCCCTATTTGGAGATGATATGATACTATACATATAAAACCCAAACGACTCCATGAGAAAGCTACTGAAACTAATAGAAAGATTCAGCAGAATAGCAGGATACAAGATAAACTTACAAAAATTAGTTGGATTCCTATACACCAATAAAGAGAATGATGAAAAGGAAATCAGAAAAACAATACCATTTATAATAGCCCCTAAAAAAATAAAATACTTAGGAATAAATCTAACCAGGGATGTAAAAGACCTATACAAAGAAAAGTATAAGACACTACTGCAAGAAACCAAAAGAGATCTACATAAATGGAAAAACATACCACGCTCATGGATAGGTAGACTCAGCATTGTGAAAATGACAATTCTACCCAAAGCAATCTACAAATAAAATGCAATTCCGATCCAAATACCAACAACATTCTTTAAAGAGATGGAAAAAAAATATCATTAACTTTATATGGAAAGGGAAGAAGCTCCAGATAAGTAAAGCACTATTGAAGAGGAAGACTAAGTAGATGGACTCTCACTACCTGACCTCAGAACCTACTATACAGCTATGGTAGTCAAAACAGCCTGGTGTTGGTACGATGACAGATATATTGACCAACGGAATAGAATTGAGAACCCAGATATAAATCCATCTACCTATGGTCACCTGATCATTGACAAGGGCCCAATGTCTATCAAATGGGAAACAGACAGTCTTTTTAACAAATGGTGCTGGCAAAACTGGATGTTCATCTGCAAAAAAATATGAAACAGGACCCATACCTCATATACACAAAAACTAATTCAAAATGGGTCCAAACCAAAAACTATAAAGATCATAGAAGAAAAAATAGGATAAATGCTAGAGGCCCTAATACACGGTATTAACAGAATACAAACTGTAACTAACAACACACAAACTCCAGAAGATAAGCTAGATAACTGGGATCCTCTAAAAATTAAAGACTTACGCTTATCAAAAGACTTCACCAAAAGAGTAAAAAGAGAACCTACACACTGGGAAAAAAAATTTGTCCATTACGAATCTGACAAAGGTCTAATCTCTAAAATCTACAGGAAAATCCAACACCTCTGCAACAAAAAGACAAATAATCCAATTAAAAAATGAGCAAAGGAAGTGAACAGATACTTCACCAAAGAAGACATTCAAGTGGCTGACAGACACATGAGGAAATGCTCACAGTCACTAGCCATTAGAGAAATGCAAATCAAAGCCACAATGAGATACCATCTCACCCCAGCATTACTGACACCAATCAAAAAAACAGAAAATAAGAAATGTTGGAGAGGCTGCTAGGAGATTGGAACTCTTATGCACTGCTGGTGGGAATGCAAAACTGTACAACCATTTTGGAAAATGATATGGCTATTCCTTAGAAAGCTAGAAATAGAAATACCATATGATCCAGGAATCCCACTCCTAGGAATATATCCTAGAAAATAAGAGCCATTACACGAATAGACATATATGCACACCCATTTTCATTGCAGCATTGTTCGCAATAGCAAAAAGATGGAAACAACCTAGATGCCCATCAACAGATGAATGGATAAACAAACTATGGTACATTCACACAATGGAGTACTGTGCAACCATAAAGAACAATGATGAATCTGTAAAGCATCTCACAACATGGATGAATCTGGAGGGCATTATGCTGAGTGAAATAAGTCAATTACAAAAGGACAAATATTGTATGAGACCACTACTATAAAAACTCAGGAAGAGGCTTATATACAAAAAGAAACAATCTTTGATTATTAAGAGGGAGGGGAGGGGTGGTGATGGAAAAACACTAAATAGACAATAGATAAGTGGTAAGTTTGGTGAAGGGTAAAACACTACACAATATTGGGGAAGCCAGCACAACATGTCAAAGGCAAGGTTATGGAAACTCCATAGACACATCCAAACTCCCTGCAGGACCAAATTGCTGGGCTGAGGGCTTTGGGGATCACAGTCTCAGGGAACACCTAGCTCAACTGGCATAACATAGTTTATAAAGAAAATGTTCTGCGTTCTACTTTGGTGAGTAGCTTCTGAGGTCTTAAAAACCTGTGAGCGATCATCTAAGATACTCCACTGGTCTCACCCCATCAGGAGCAAGGGAGAATGAAGAAAACCAAAGACACAAGGGAAAGATTAGTCCAAAGGACTAGTGGACCACATCTACCACAGACTCCACCAGACTGAGTCCAGTACAGCTAGATGGTGCCTGGCAACCACCACTGGCTAACAGAGATCACAATACACATCTCAGACAGAGCTAGAGAAAACTGTAGAACGAAATTCTAACTCACA